TGTAAAATTAGTTATTTCTAAGTGTGTAGGTTTAGATATCGGGCTTCCTTAGAGAGGCAAACTATTGCAATCTTTTATGAGTGAAAGCAGAGCTCTTCCAATTAACGTGTGGTTTATTTGAAGGGCTCTGCTTTCACTCATAAAAGGTTATGGGCAACTCTACGAGAGAAGCTGTGTGCGGTATTCCGCAGTTCAACGGTGGTTCCGGATTTCAGCACTGGAGCTTCAGAGTCAAGATGTTCCTGGATTCTGTGGGAGTATTGAACACTTTAACTGAAGAAGCACCGGCAGTAGCAGCTGAAAAGGTGAAATTTGAAGAGGAAGACCTGAGTTGATCAAACGTTGAATAATAGCTTCCAGAGTTGAACAAGAATGTAGTTGTATTGCCTTTTTGGTTAAACGCTTCAAAAGCTGCTTGGAGCACTCTTAAATGATTGTTTACGTTCGGTTAAACTGTTTGACAGGAGCCATATAGGATGTGGAATAAACGCATCAAAACAAACCATTGGGAGCTCTTATACAACACCTGAGTTGATCAAACGTTGAATAATAGCTTCCAGAGTTGTACAAGAATGTAGTTGTATTGCCATTTGGTTAAAAGCTTCAAAAACTGCTTGGAGCACTCTTAAATGATTGTTTACGTTCGGTTAAACTGTTTGACAGGAGCCATATAGGATAAGGAATAAACGCATCAAAACAAACCATTGGGAGCTCTTATAAAACACCTGAGTTGATCAAACGTTAAATAATAGCTTCCAGAGTTGAACAAGAATGTAGTTGTATTGCCTTTGGTTAAAAGCTTCAAAAGCTGCTTGGAGCACTCTTAAATGATTGTTTACGTTCGACCAACCACCAACCACAATTTTGTTGCTAAAAATAGCACAAGTGATAGGCACGTTTATATGACCATAAGGCAATGATTATTCGACTGCAAGAGAAGTCACTCAAGATGAGCTTCATATACTTCTCTCATATGATCAAAATATGTATTCAAGAATAGAGCAGATGGAAACAGAAGCGGCTGGCAATCCGGGATCATGAGTTCGAATCTTGCTTCGAGAAACCCTCTGTGGAGTAGAGGTAAATTATATATAGGTGTTATTAATAAATGCAAACATTAATTTAAGACATGTATCATATAATCCAACGATAACATTTCTAGATAAATTCTCTCAATTTATGATTAGAGAGATTAATTGAAAGAATATCAATCAAAGATTAAACAGATGCTTGTTACTACTTCCAAATAAATTAAATTAATAAAAACTGTACAAGCAATTGTTTTGGCGTACCACGACAATTTTTCAACTAATTTTAATCTGTGAATATTGTGAGTACTTACACAACGGTTATTAAGGAGTCATTAAAAAGTGCTATAAACGCTTTTCACCGCTTGCTGTATAGTGATTATTTAGGAGTCATAAAAGAGTGTAACAAACGCCTCTCAGGTTCAATCTCTAATACATTTCGAAGCAGCTGTTAGGAGGTGTCTACAAACGTTGTATTAGAGCTTTCACCAAAATAATATAGCTTGAGTTTAAATATGTATCTATAAACGTTGTATAAAAGTTGCTTCTATCCGGTTGTTAAGGAGTCATTGAAAAGTGTTATAAACGCTTTTCACCGCTTGCTGTTCAATTAATATTTAGGAGTCATAAAAGAGTGCAACAAACGCCTCTCAGGTTTACTCTGTACTAAATTTCAAAGCAGCTGTCAAGAATGTCTACAAGCGTTGTATAAGAGCTTTCACCAAAATAATAAAGCTTGAGTTTAAATATGTATCTATAAACGTTGTATAAAAGTTGCTTCTACTCCTATACCGCGTATACATATAATGCTGTAGTTGAACAGGTTCTCCAAACCAGTGTAAACAAGAGTTTTACAGAAGTTGTAATAAACATATTGTACAGTTATTATTCAGCATGCAGTTGAATAAAATCACAATGGAAGCGTTTCTTAAACAAGAAATTGATTTTGGGTAAACGTTTTACTGAATACGTTAGACAACACCTTTGTGTTGCAGTTGTGTAGGTTCTCCAAACCAGTTTAAACAAGGGTTTTATAAAAGTTGTGGTGAACACATTGTGCAATTATTATTCAACATGCAGCTGAACAAAATCAAAACGAAAGCGTTTCTTCAACTGGAAATTGTTACTTGGGATATATTGTCAGCTTCCTGGCGAATGAATGTCTGGCGATCGTCTGCGAGAAGAAGACGGCCAAGGACATGTGGAAGGCGCTCGAGAACACCTTTGCGAAGGGTCAATTAGCACTCAAAACCTGGTGAGAAAGCAGTTGAATCGTCTGAAGTTGAGAGATGGTGATTCGATGAGAGCGCACTTGCTGGTGTTCGAAGACTTTATCCGGCAGCTGGAAACCGCTGGGGTGAAGGTCGAGGAAGCTGATTTGGTCATTTCGCTGTTCCAGACTCTACCGGATGCGTATGACCCCTTGGTGACGGCCTTGGAAAACATTCCTGAGGAAGAGTTGAGTGTGGAGATCGTGAAGCAACGCTTATAGGCGGAAGAGCTGAAGAGAACCGAACGTCACGAAGACGCAGGTGAGATCAAGGCTGTGGCATTTTCTGGAGAGAAGAAACTACGAAGTCTATGAAGCTCCAAGGCAAGTGTCACAATTGTGGAAAACGTGGCCATTTGAAGAAGGACTGTCGGCAGAAAAGCGGTGAAGCTAATTCGGCAGATCAACGGAATGCAGTAAGTTTCATTGCAAGTCGCAAGATTGAAAAGGCACCAAGTGGAAAGGTGGTATTCAAGCTCGATTCGGGTTCAAGCGACCACCTAGCGAATGATTTGGTAGTATTCTCAGAAATTAGAAAGATGAAGCAACCCATTGTGATTCAAGTAGCGAAGGACGGAGAAACACTGGTTTCAAAAACGGTTGGAACCATCGTCGGAAGCAGTAACAAGAACACGTCGTTGAACATGAAGGATGTTCTCTATGTCCCCGAGCTTCGAGACAACCTGATGTCCGTTAAACAGTTGGTGAAGGCAGGCGTTGTGCTAATTTTCTGCGGTTCCGTTGCGGTTCTCAAGAAAAACAACGAAGTCATTGCTACTGCGAACTTGCGAGGTAACCTGTACGAGATCGAGGTAGACATTCCAGTGTCTTCGGCAAATATGTGTCAAACTGAAGCGACCAATTTGTGGCACCGAAGGCTTGGACACCTGAGTCAACAGGGAATGAAAGCGATCATTAGTAACAATCTTGTGGATGGTGCTGATTTCAGGGCAGACAAGCTGGCGTTCTGTGATGCGTGCGTGCAAGGGAAACAATGTCGTGAAACATTCAACGGCACACGCCCGAGAGTAACAAGGCCGTTGGAAAGAATTCATTCGGACGTATGCGGACCAATCGAACCTACTGCGTGGGGTGGTTCAACCTATTTTGTTTCCTTCATTGACGACCATACCCATTTTGCATTGCTGCTGATGAAGAGGAAATCGGAGGTGTTTGATCGATTCCGCGACTACGAAGCAATGGTAACGGCGCAATTCAACATGAAGATCTCGAAACTAACAATAGATCAAGGCCGTGAGTATCTTTCTAACAACCAAAAGCGTTTTTACTCACAGAAAGGTATCCAAATCGAACCAACCGTTGCTTACACGCCTCAACAAAACGGCGTTGCGGAGAGGTTCAACCGAACCATTGTTGAGAAGGTCCGCACGATGTTAATCGATTCTCAAGTCCCCAAAAAGATGTGTCATTACTTCCGTGTACCTGATGAACAGAAGTCCTACTGTAGCCCTGCCGAGAAGTATGACACCAGCTGAATGCTGGTACGGTCAGAAGCCAAGTCTAGAAAAATATCGAATTTTCGGATGCAAGGCGTTCGCTTGGATTCCCAGCCAACATCGAAAGAAATTGGATGCCAAGAGTCATGAAACCGTCATGGTCGGATATGCACCAAACGGCTACCGACTGTGGGACAAGAAGTCAAGAAGAATTATGATTGCTCGTGACGTGAAGTTTCATGAAACCTGCTTTCCCTACAAAGCTAATCCTGAAAATCAAGCAGATACATCACTCGTTGTAGTACCGTACGAGCAAGAGGGGGAAGTTGTTCGTGATTCAATGGAACCGTCACCTGAAGAGAGGCCGATGTCACGTGAGAATACTCCGATTGCTGATGATTCAGACGTTTTGGAGGCGGATGATACCGGAGCGCTCCCTTCGCAACTAGAACAACTCGAGTCCGAAGGACAAGCGATGTTGAGGCGCAACGAACGGGAGCGCAAACTCCCCGGTAAGTTGTTAAATTTCTTGACCGGTTACAGAGTAACTTCTGCTGGCTCGTATTCCACAGATGCTCCTCAATGCTACAGTGACATCGAAACCCGCTGAGATTGTATGAAATGGCTGGAGGCTGTTGATGACGAATTGCGATCCATGGAGGCGAACGGTGTGTGGAAGATGACGCCCTGTCCACGTGGCGTGAAACCTCTCAAATCCAAGTGGATATTCCGTGTGAAGGAAGACGAAGATGGCCAGGCCGCTCGATATAAAGCCCGACTAGTAGCGAAGGGCTATCTGCAGCGTTATGGAGTTGACTTCGAGGATACATATGTACCGGTGGCGATGGACGTTAAAACTGCCTTCTTGCATGGAGATTTGAAAGAGGATATCTATATGGATATTTCTGAAGGCGTCCAAGCTCCAGCAAATATGACCTGCATGGATTGAAGCAATCTCCACGATGCTGGAATGAAAAATTCAACAGTGAACTAGTCAAGCGGTCCCGCCATGACTATTACCTATGCACACGATGCGAAGAAGGAGACGAGCTGTACGTTGTACTCTATGTGGACGATTTGCTAATCGCAGGGAGAAAATTGGAATCCATCGCACGTATGAAGGAGAAGCTTTTGACTTTGTTCAGCATGACTGGATTTTTTTTTTAAGGCTGTATTAAAGAGATTTTTAGCCTTAGGCTAGTTCATCTCTAGACTGACTGTGGAGAAGCACGCCACTTTCTGAGAATGAAGATAGCGTACGATCGGCAAACAGGAGTTCTTCAACTTTCGCAAGAGGCGCACGTGGCAAGAGTCTTGGAGCTTTTTGTACTGGCTGAATGCAATCCAGCTAAGTCACCAATGGAGAAGGGACTGCAACTGCAACGAGAGGGGACGCTAACTGCAGAACCCTACAGGGAGCTAATAGACAGTTTAATGTATATTATGCTGTGCGTTCGGCCGGACATCTGTTTTCTCGTAGGGTATCTGGGGCGCTACCAACAAAAACCAACAGAAACACACTGGCAGTGCTTGAAGCGAATCGTTCGTTACCTGAAGGGAAGTGCCAATGCTGTATTGAAGTTCGAAAGCAATGACGACCGTCCGCTCGTTGGATTTGCTGATGCTGACTGGGCGGCCGACAATGAAGATCGAAAATCAGTCACGGGATACGTCTTTAAGGTGTTTGGATCAACGGTATCATGGTGCAGCAAGAAGCAAACTACAGTTGCTATTTCGTCAAGTGAATCCGAGTATGTAGCTCTGAGCGCCGCTACTGCAGAATCCCTGTGGTTATCTGGAGTACTTGAAGATATGAAAGCCAAGGATCCGAAAACACCTGTCACCATATTCGAGGACAACAGAGGCTGTATTGGAATGGCGAATAACTTGGAGACGAAACGAAGCAAACACATTGATCAGGGATCATATTGCCGAAGGACGCATCCAAGTGGAATCTGTTGGTACTCGCGAAAAATTAGCTGACATATTCACCTAGCCATTGGACTCTGGACGCTTTCAAGAACTACGGATGAGTCTAGGGCTACACGATTGAGAGGGGATGATATCGAAAGAACCTGGAAGCCAGAAGCAATCGTTTAATTCCATCTCAGTAGTCCTGCTTATTTGACTTTTCATTTTTCTGTTCCATTATCAAACTGTCCGTCCAATCCAATTAACGTGTAAATAAACCACACGTTAATTGGAAGAGCTCTGCTTTCACTCATAAAACAATCGCTTTAGAAGCTCTCTTTAACGTGGTTACTAGAGTGATGCAAAATTTGAAATTTTCGCTCCACAATACTTAAACGATTCCAAATCGGATCCTGACTAACCTCTCCAAATTTGAACCCATTTGGTGAGAAACTGAGATGGCACAAAACATTTGAAGTTTGTATGGGAATTACTATGGTAAAACCAAGATTTTTGTTCATGTCTATCTAATAATTCACCATATCGGTCTGCTTCAAAAGTTTTCAACTGTTCTTGTAGGAAATTTTCCCAGCTAGACCACTCAAGACCACTTTTTAATTAAATGCAAGGATCGAAAGTTATCAATGGTTCAATGCGCTGATGTCTTATGATCATGCTCAATCAACTGCTCAGCAGGCAACATTGGTGTTTCTGGGGCTTTGAATAGGACACACAAATCATGGCTACTATGTCACACTGCAAAATACAGTGTTGCCTACAGAGCAGCTGCTTGATCATGTCATAAGTTTACCAATCTCTTAAATAATTAATAACTTTTTCCTGTCTCGTTTTACAAAGAAACAATCTTCAGCAAAGTTGTAGCTGAAAAAAATTTCTATAATAATGGCTATCAAACTGTTTCGCAGCTCAGTATGGGAAAAGACTAGAAGGCAATGAACAAAAACTTGAGATCTCCCATAGTAATTTACATATAAACTTCAAATGGCTTGTGCGAAGTCTGTTTCTAATCAAATTAGTTGTAATTTTGAGAGGCTAATCAGGACCCGATTTGAAACCATTTAAGCACTGTGGAGCGAAAAAGTCAAATTTTGCATCAGTCTAGTGGTTACATTGACTGTTATCAAACTCTTCATAAGTTTATTTACGGGTATTAAGGAAATTGTACATTAGTAATCTATATGTGGGTTTGTATATTGGACCATTTGTACAAAATAATACAAGAAACATTTCTCTAGAAGATTTGAAAACTCCATCTCATTCCGGAGATATTTTTAACACACGCGGAGCACATCTGTGTTGCAAGCTCACTGATCTCATACATGACTGTAGGGCGATACAGCCTCATAATCCTGTATTCTAAACTATAACTCAGGAGACCATACTTACCATACCAGCCAGGCTAAGGCATGAGTTTTCCTCTGCTGTACACATTAAACTCGATCCATGGCTGCTCTTCACCAACCTTGCAGTATGCGAAGGCTCCAATTCTGAGACAATAATTACCAAAGGTCGTGTTGTATAGTGTAATAGTATTGCTCAATTTACTAGCCACTACAACCAGTATTGGCGTAGTTGGCGAATTATCTAGGCCTCTAGGTTTCTGAGGTATTTTGTCAAGCTTGTCAAGTTCGATGTTACTATTTAGCAGTGATTAATAAAATTGGACCACAATCAACGATTTTTTTTTAAAGTCCTTTAAGTTGACTACTTTTCTTATGCACTCGACTAAAAGAGAAAGTTTTGAGAAATTATATTATATCGATATTTAATTGATGGCATAATATGACGTCTTTAGGCTCTACAAATTGGCCATGAGCCCAGGGTACTTCTGGGAGCTTCGCAAAACTTCAAGGACTTCTTAGAAGTTCAGGAAACGTCGTAGAAATTGCTGAAAATTGGTAGACATTCTGGGAGCTTCATAGGTCATCAGAAAAAAATCGTAGAAAAAAGGAACTTGCAAAAGTTCTGAAAACTGCGTAGGAGTGAAAAAAAATATGTAAGTTTGAAGAGCTGCATAGAAATTAATTAAACATTACTTCATTTCAGGGAAGCTCATTATATAATTTAAGGGCCCTTTTTTTTGAAGCCTCTTGGACTTGGAATTGTTGTGGAAATAACGTACAAATACAAGAAATTTCGTTCGTGAAACTTCGTGGAAAATCAACAAGAAACTAAGTAGTGCAGCAAACTTTGTAGATGTTTTCGAATTTCGTAACATTTTGAGGAGTTGCGTAAAACTTCATATAAGTGTAACGAATTTTGCAAAAGTTCAGGGAATTTTGTAGAAAAACTAAAAATGTTCAATAAACTTCTAAGAACTTCAGGGATCCTTTCTTCAGTTTAGCGAGCTTCGTTGCAGTTTGTCACAGATCTTAGGGGCTGTTCATAAACTACGTTGACAAATGCCTGCGATCCATACAAATTTCAAAGAAATTGTATGGACGATTGTCTACGTGGGAAAAAGGGGAGTGGGGTCTAAAATTTCTAAAAATCGCTCTACGTAGTTTATAAACAGCTCCTTACTTAAGAAAAGCTCCATGATCTTCTTGGAGGTTCTGGGAATTCCATCAAATTTCAAGGAACTTTCCAGATGTTCAAGAATATTTGTAGATTATAGGTGTCTTTCCAGAAGTGCAAGATGTACAGAGATTTGGAATGGAATTTGGAATAAATTCAGAGAACTTCGTAGTTACTTAAGGGAGTTTTATAGATATTCAGAAAACGAATTATTTATTGACTATAATATGTCATCCGACAGCCCATTCTTCATCGATTTCGTTAATAGGCTTTTCATAGAGTTGTTTGTTTCCTTGATTTGTTTTCCGTCGATCTTTTTTTACGTGCTGAACACAAATGCTACCGACGCCAGGGAGACAGCTCCCACACCTGGACCTACCTATAGATCCACCAACTCATGAACTGGGGACCAACGGCTTTACTTCACGGTGTGATCAGAGATGTTATGCCTTAGCCCAGCCTGGACAACCAGGTTCGCAGAATACTTGATCAGCTACCGGAACCCAAGATGTTTATAGGGGACCTGAACGGCCACCACCCGGCCTGGGGTTGCCCATGACCGGACCCTAGAGGCGTCACCCTCTGGGATATTTTCGAGCAGGAAGATCTGGTCATTTTAAATGATGGTGGCCCAACGTTTTTCAACGGTCGGCACACCACCGCCATTGACGTATCCACAGCCAGCCGTTCTCTGGCGGGCAAAGTGCTCTGGTCGATTAAGCCGGATCTGTGTGGCAGCGACCACTATCCGGTACAGATTCGCTTATCCACCACATCGCCCCCAGAGAACACCCGAAGACCGCGGTGGCGCTACGGGGAAGCTGATTGGGAGGGTTTTCAGCACACGTACCGAGCCCTCTCACAGAACCAGGAACCCTCGAACATCCCAAGAATCACGGAAATCATCTATAAAGCCGTATACCCAAAACTGGCTGTGTCCCCGGGTGGAAGGCACTCCGCTGGTGGAACCTCCCCAAACGATCCAGCAAGAGAAGAGGTCCTCGCGAACTATCGCCAGCAGCACAACAAATGCCGACAGGAGATCCGGACGGCAAAGCAAAATTGCTGGTCGGACTTCCTGGAGAGTATCAACGCTGAACAATCGTCAGCGGAGCTATGGAGTCGTATTAACGCCCTTAGCAGCAAGCGGCGATCATCTCCGATCCAGACACACCGAACAGACACCGTCACCATCACTGATCCAACCGTCGTAGCAGACGAACTGGGCAAATACTTCGCCAAACTATCCGGCATCTCGGAGTACAGCGAAAGCTTCCGACAGCGAGTCCGCCCCTCTCTGTCCTCTGTGTCTGCCTTCGGAATTCCTCCAGACAACGACGATCTACCGATCAACAACTCGTGTTCGCTCTCAGTCGGAGCAACGGGAACTCGGCCGGACCGGACGAAATCGGCTACACGATGCTAAAGCAACTTCCACCCGAAGGCAAAACGAAACTTCTCGACCTTTACAACCAACTCTGGACCGCTGAAGAATACCCGGAAAACTGGAGAGAAAGCCTCGTTATACCGTTACCGAAAACCAATGTCGGAACCAAGGACATCACTAGGTTCCGTTCCATTGCACTGACCTGCTTCATGGCCAAAGTCCTGGAACGGATGGTCAACAGGAGGCTGAAGCAATATCTTGAAGCCAATGGACTGCTTGACCATCGGCAGCACGCCTTCAGGCAAAGGGATGGCACCTCCACCTACTTCGCCACTCTTGGGGAAGTCCTGAAGGAGGCAAAGGACCAAGGTCATCACGCGGAGATCGTCTCGCTGGACATATCCAAAGCGTTCAACCGAACATGGACGCCAGCTGGATTGAAGAAGCTTGCTGATTGGGGCTTGAAAGGACACATCCTTTACTTCGTCCGGAACTTTCTGACCGACCGATCTTTTCGGGTTTCGGTTGGAAACGTGAAATCCGGAAGTTTCAGTGAGGAAACCGGAGTACCACATGGTTCGGTGATCGCGGTCACCCTCTTCCTGGTGGCCATGAATGGTGTCTTTGACCAGCTACCCAAGAACGTTTACATCTTCGTCGTAAAATGACGTCCTCATTGTAACGGTGGGTCCCACCCTGCAGAGGACGAAACTGAGAGCGCAAGCGGCAGTCTCCTCGGTGGTCAGACTTGGCATCCAGCTTTCCGCCGGCAAGAGCGTGCGCTGCCATATATTTACCACCAGGCATCGCAACAACGGACAGCCCATCATGATTAAAAAACAAGCAATACCGGCCAAAAACACCGTGAGGGTCTTGAGAGTGCTCCTCGATTGGAATTTATCCTTTGAGCCACACTTCCAGCAAGTAAAGAAGGACTGCCGCAGTCGGTCCAACCTGATTAAGACCATCTCCCACCCCCACCGATCCAACAATCATGAAATCCGCTTCCACGTAGCTCGAGCCATCATCGACAGTCGCCTACTGTACGATGTAGAGATTACATGTCTTGCCGCCAAGAAAGCCGTCCAGATTCTGGAACCGGTGTACAACGGCTACGTTCGAACAGTCTCCGGTCCCCTGCCCTCTACCCTGGCCGACGATGCATGCGTTGAAGCCGGTATCCTACCTTTTCGGCTCGTTTTCACCGCAGCTACTACTACCAAAGCCACTGCCTTTCTCGCTAAAACGTCGGGGAACAACAGGATCGTTCTCCTCGACGAGGCGAACCGACTCCACGGAGACAAAAGTTGGCAATCGCACTAGTACAAAATTGACAGCCGAATCAAAGATCGCTTCAGGACAGGAGAAAACTCGCTGGCTTTACGCCGGACAGTTGTCGAAACTCTCGGGGCGCACTGCCAAGGCTATGAAGTTAGGTACACCGACGGCTCTCTCTCCAGGAGCGGAGTGGGAATGGGGGTCTCCGAAGATGGTCTGCTTGTGAGCAGATCGCTCCCAACCCAATGCTCCGTGTTCTGAGCTGAGGCAGCGGCCATTTTTCACGCGGTTAAGTTACCGGCCAACCGGCCGATATTAGTCGTAACTGACTCACACAGCGTGATATTGGCCCTAACAACAGAAACAGCGAAGCATCCGTGGATCCAAGGGACGGTAAAGCACGCGCCGCCCAACACAGTATTCATGTGGGTACCCGGTCACTGCGGGATCCAAGGGAACGTAATAGCCGACCACCTCGCCGGCTCAGGCCACACCGGACCCAGGTCCACCGGCAATGTACCGCTCCAAGATGCCAAAAAGTGGACCAAGCGGACGATTCGCAGAGCCTGGGACACCGAGTGGAGCAACAGCAGGACACACCACCTTCGGAAGATCAAGGCGACCACCGGAACCTGGAACGATCGACCAAACTTAAGAGAACCATATTTCCCTTGCTTAAAATCATAGCTTAAATATAATTTTTCTAGGTAATATTAAAAAAATAAACACACTATTTATTTACAACAATACCACTAATCTAACTCAATAATTATGTTCAAATCATCAAATTTTCACACCTTTAATTTGGCGTTAACATAATTTATATAGCTTTATTACAGCCGGACATATTTGTATTTTAGTAAACAGTGAAATTTCGTATTTTGGCTGTATCTAGGATACTATCCTACTGAGATTTTTTATACAACATTTTGGATTTAGGCACGATTTTACATAAGGATCAAAGGTCAAACATTGAAGTTATTTTTTTACTTTTATTTGGAAACTTGTGTTATCGAACTAAAGCTTCATGTTGATATTCAGCCATTCCATTGCAAAACGATATAGTGCTTCTATGGATTTCGTAAAAAGTGGTAGTTTTATTCTTTTTGGCAAAATATTAGACCCGTATTTTTTTTTTTATTTGCTTATGTGGTTTATTATTTATGTTCGGGTGGACCAAAAATTCGATTTTTTTTTTCAAAAATGACTTTTTATCAAAAAATTATATCTTTTGAACCACTTGACCGATTTCTGGTATTGCCTAGTTTGAGATCACCAGTTTTTAGAAATTGAGGATGATTGCTAGTCACAAACATCAGGATTTTTCAGTAATCATAGGATCACATTTTAGTCGTTGTTACTTTTTATGACCTGATAATAGTGACAAGACTCGGGTAGTGACCACCACGCCGTTATACATATTGTATATTTCAAATCATTTTTTAGTTTATGTTCATACATTTCACATAATCCTTTTCCCTTTGTCCTTCTCCTTTTCCTTTCCCTCTTCTCTTTGCAAAAAGCGGGTAATGGCGCTATAGCCATAAGTCATAAAAGGCTAGGACAAAAGTTAGTGCTCATGCCCCAACCGTCAGAAGCAAATGGAGCATCACTTAACCTTTCTAGTTTTGATGCCTCCAACGACCAACCAATCATATAATAACCAAAATTGGAACGTACGGTACGAGCTGTCCACGTTTCATCCATTTATTGGATTCTGAAGCATCGTGTTTAAAACTTCGATTTAAACAGGCCCGATGTTTTCTGAATCATCTTGCCCCTTAAATGCTGCACAGTAATGATGTGAAACATATATCAAAGAGACAAGAAAAATGATGTAGGTATTTATATCATTTTCCAGGATGCTTTCAAGAACTGGCTGTGTTGGTGTTCGATTAGATTAGATTAGATTTGACCGATTTCTAATATATGTTTTTTTGTTTAATGTTTTCATGATTTGTAGACAGAGGATCCAAGTAACAAATTACCAGCTACTTGGCATCCACTCTGATTTATGATGGTTTTATAAAGGAAATGAACAATCCATTCAGTTTAAATACCGCATTTAAAAGTGTAAAACATTCCTGGTTTATAATTCAGCTTATTGCTGTTTTAATAACATTCTCTAGTCTGTCGAGAAAGTCAACATTTTTCTTCTTTAAAAAATAAATTTAAAGCTGCTCTGAATCCCTCCATAAAACTGTTCTATAAATCAATCACAAACTTCATTAGCAATTGTTTATTAATGCCTTGATAAAATACTATGTAAAGTTTTTTATGATTATCAAAGAAACCATTAAACCATTCGATTTTAAATGAGAGCAAAGAGCATATATTGTAAATATTTAGACTTGTTAAAGTGAATCATAAAATCCCCAATAACTCTATTTTCAAAATGAACTTAAAAGTTAGATTCTCATAGTGAATAAAAGCAAAATTAATGACAAGGCAATCTCGAAGAATAGACGAAGTAGGATGAACAATTCAAGCGATGTTAACTACCCAAGGGAAGTCAATTGCGGCAATGACTGAGCTGCTGGCGTTTGCATCACATTCTGACCGGTGTTGATCCTTTATGAAACAGTCTAAAAACAGACCAGCATTCTCCAGATCGGACGAACGAAATAATTTGCATTTGTACCTACAGCAAACCACTGAAACTGTCACTAAGTGGAGATTGGCTGGTTTCCTATTCATAGCAGTAATTTTATTCAGCGAAATGTTCGAAATTTCATTCAAGCGTACTTAATTTAAACTGCATCGTTTGATAGTGCAATTCGGGAACCATCTGAAAGAAGGGGATCTTTTACGGGAACGGTTGAGCTTCCAGCTGTTCCATTAAATATGCGAAATTTTGCGAAATGCTGCAAAACAATTCCGCATACTTCCTTAGTAACTGCTTTCAATCCAGCGGGAGAAAATCGCCTGGAAGAACGCGGGAGTAAACCTGTTGTGATCGAACAACGCAACTATCGAAAGATAAACAAACTTTGACGTTTAACTTTGCCTCAATACTCCTATGTGACTAAATAATGTAACTATGTTAGTTATATATCAATGGAGACGCATGATAGTCTTGTCAGTAGCATTGGTACTCAGTATGGAAAACAAGATCGAAAACAAATCAAGGAAAACAAACTCTGATAATCCAAATATTCACGTAAGAAGTAACAAAAATCTTTGATTGAATGAATTATGCGAACTTTTATGCAAATTGGTCACATAATATCTGAAGGTCACATCATATCGATTCGTCTTTTGGTGTGGAACTGCTCATAGTTATTTAATTAGAATGGTTTTTTTTTGTCGTTTTCCTGCCATGGTCAATTTCGTGAAACAGTCATTGTTATGGACGTTAAGGCCATTGCCAGGATTGAACTTTAACAAATGCAGATCGATTGGCCTACTGGCACTCGTATTTGCATGTTTGTTGTGTTATCAATTGAGAGCTATCTATGAAATTCGTAAATTGTGGGGCAAACACAATCATACTCCATGCTCAGGGAAGATTCTTGAGCATTTACATCCCGGAGTATTAGGCTATCTAATGCCCCACTACGCAGCTTGAGGTGTCTTTAACGGTTATTGTTGATGTTTTCCTATAGTAGATACATTTTTACTAAGCTTCAAGACAATCCCCGAAACGACCAACTTCAACCTTAACTGCAAAGCATCAACTTACCTTTCCCAATAGCAATCGACGGAATGGCTCAATGTCAAAAAGTTCGGATCCACTTGAAAGGATCTGAAAAATTTCCCGAAATGGTAAAACTCTCTCAAGTTTTCTTGAAACTTTTTTTTAAGCAATCGCACACAGGACTCTTGAAACTGTCGCCTTCGATCCGAGGGAGGCGTTCAAAAAGGAGAAAATGGTTAAGGAGCTTTGCCATTCGATCCTTTTCCTCCCATCATCGCTCGTCGTGGGTCGTAGGTAGTCTTCCGAGCTAAGCAAATATCGAGGTTTGAAAATAAAATCAGCGTATCAATTGTTAAGGGGGAAAAAAGGTTCCAGAGGAAGTCAACTTGAATCATCATCCTGGTTGGGTGGAGATTTTTTCAACGTTCGTTTGTTCGGTAGGACCACACAAACAACACAATGGCAATCATGAAGCTCCCACTCTGCGAGTGACTGGGAGGGATTGCGACAAGGAGGTATCGAATTTGAATGCGCAAACAATATCGAAACCAACGAACGAACGAATGAACCATTCAGCAAGCTTCGTCGGGTCTTCGCTTTGCAGTCTTGGAGAAAAATGCACCTGAATGGCAATCAGCAGAATATTATCCAACAAAGTCCCACTCGTCGATTGCCGCCATGTCAGGGCGAAAAGACGATTGGCAGATTGTTCCGATACACAAAGTGGTATAAATTTGTCTACAAATTGGATGGTTCCTCTTTTGCCCTGCTTCCCTTTTTTGAGAGTGCGAACGGAGTTTTGTCGGTCTGATGGTTGAGCAATAACAATTGATACTTGATGACATTTCCTCCCTATATACGAATGGAGATTTGAATTGACTTGATTTTCTCCACGTGCGAGTCCGTGGGTTTATGACAGTGACGGTAGGTAGATTGCGAAGTAGCATGACATTATATTATCTTGGAAGCTATACGTCCTGAATTTTTTGCTGTTGGCTTATAGATCTAAGATTGGGCCCATCGCTAAAAAGCTGCTATTTATCAATTTTATCCTGATGAACGTGTCATCGGGACGGTACTAATTGATATTGGTTACTATTGAAAATTTCTTCGATTGCTGAATTTATGTATGGGCCCAAATTAGGGGCATTTAGGCCGACATTACAAACATTTCCCTTACATATGTACTTTCTTTGGCAGAAGATAGCTTAAACTGTGAAACATATTTTAATTTTAAAAAATTATGCCAATAAAACGTGGAATGTGCTTTACATGTATATGCAAGACTACATCTTTCTTTTTTAGGGAGTTCTAGGAGAACACTTAAGGATCTCGGTAGTTAGGTATATAATTTTAGCCCAATTTTATTCATCATTATGAATTTTAGGCCAGAATGAAGGAGAACGAG